GAAAAGGAAGAGATTAGGAAAAATGGGCCCTAAGAGGAATTTCGGAGGGCAATCTGCCCAGGCCAATGGGATTTCAAAAACATATTTTATCAAACCATCAGACCAAATAGTTGCCCTTCCAAAACACTTAAAAAGAAAACAAAATCTCCTCATACTACTCCTTGTCCTCAAATAATAAACTTGTGGAGTCCGGCAAGGAATCCATCTTGGGGCCAATACTATTCCTTATATAACATAAATGACACATGCCTTTGGCTTTAAGGAACAACAAAATAATTTTTGGTTTGCAGATGACACCAACATCATATCAAAGCCAAAACACAACAATGCATTAGAAAAAGAAACTTACAAAACTTTGTAAGCACTAAGTTAAAATGGTTTCAAGACAACAAACATCATCATAAAACCGAGCAAGACAGTCTCTCTAAAATTTCATGAATCCTGCGATCAAAAGAAAAATCTTCCCGATTTGCCTCATAAACAATCAAACCCTGTAACGTATATCTCATGAAACTATCTTCTTGGACTAACAATTCAAGAAACTAAACGGAACACTCACGGATCTCAATCTTAACAAGAAGCTCAGCATCTTTGCTATGGCCTCTAATACCCTCAGGTCAATGCTCCCTTAACGTTGAGACACTTTCGAACTATATGTATTCTTGCAAATGTGCACTTCACACCTTAAAATATGGAATAATATTCTGGGAAATGCCCGAAAGCCACTCGCACATTCATCTATCCAAAAAAGAATACTGCGACAATGACCAGCACTCGTAAGCTGGAGTCTTGCAAACCCTTGTTTAATAAACTAAGGATTCTTCTTCTACATGCATGTCAGTATTTGAAAGTGTCTTCACTAAGGAACAATTCTCATGGAAAACAAAGAACTTTACTTTAAATTCTGATGTACATAATACAGACACCGGTCAACAAGGATAACCTACACGTTCCGCCGTCCACTCTGGAAACTCACTTTATCACAAAAGTACCGCTAATAGAGGGCATTACACTTTACAACAAACTAGGCATGATATCAAAAGACATAAACACAATTCATACATTAAAAGTAAATTGAAGGCTTTCCTGCTTAACAACATGTCATACAGTGTAAAGGAGTTTCAATTACATTCCCTTGAAAAATGTAAATAAATAAGAATTTTCTTATTCCATTAGACTTTCTGTTTCATGTGAAACTGTTTCAAGCTGAAGCAAAGAAACAAGAACTGCATATCACATCTGTGGAAATAGAAGAAGAAAAAAACTGTCAAAAACTCTGCCTCCTCACCAAATTTCAGTTATAAATACTAGAATTACTACTATTGTTAAATTTGATGTAGTTGCAATACATTATTGAATATTATTTTATGTAATTATTATAATAATGTAATTATTATTAATCGTAATTATTATTCTAAGTAGTAGCATTAAAATATCATATTTGAAATGTTAATTATTAGCAAGATTACTCTTATCTCTAGCTGTATAAATATCTTAATCTAACTGTAACAAGTATTGTAAATTTCTAGGCAATGACGCCATCTTGATCAGGTTTTGTTCAGTTTCCCTGATCCTTTGAGCAAATGCTGAGAGGCCCATTGTTTTGGCTCCTGAACAGTAATATAACCGCTCTCCTCCACACACCCAAGGCATCATATTGACTCGTCATACACGATATATGTGACTCAATAAATATTATTATTATTATTATTATTATTATGATTATTATTATTATTATTATTGTTATTATTATTAAGTATTCTTCATTCAGTTTTCACAGTATTTACAAAATATCATCTTTCTCGTAAGCAAGATACATTTGCCTGTTTAATTAAGAGAATAGGGCATGGAATGTCAATTTTTAAGCTCAACTTGCTATGTGAGATTGAAAGTAAAGAACATCAATGTTACACTTATGAAGGCTGTTTTCGCATAGTAAGTACGATGTCCTCTAAGAACAATGTAGGACTTGCATAAAATGCAGTCGCACAGTAGAGTCTAAAATTATTCCTAATGTGACATCCTTTTTCTCTATACTTATTCCACATAGTTGTTTAAAATCTTTATAATAATTATCAGGGCTGATATGTATATGGAATGACATGTATCTAAGTATAGGTATACAAATATTAACTAAAAATATTTCAAATATGGAGTATAGTATGAACTAAAAATATGAAAATAGTGAAAATAGTGTATAAATCAAATGTTTGAAGTACATAAATAGAATGGTCAAAGAACTTAGTGTTAGTGTTAGCTGTAGTAAAAGATTTAATCAAGAATTAAAAATTATTAAGAATTAAAATTAAGAATATCATTGTGCTGCTAAAAATAAGTTCCTTAATTCTTTTCTGATAATTTAGGCATTTATAAAGCATAGTTTTAAATGTTTACTTGTAAACTTTCTCACAATATTGCATTATTCTCGTTAAATACCACTCAACATTAATAATAGTAATTGAGCCCATCAAGAATCTTGCAGTATATTGTAGAGTTAAATCCCCACCTACTTCTAAACCTGATTCATCAAATTGCACTAAAAGTTAAAAATAATCCTACAAAAATAATTTTGAATAAATATGAAATGGAACATAGGTCAAATAAAATGTTGAAATGTGCAAATATATGTAAGTTTTCCATAAATCGGTGAAAACGTGCCCTATACCCGGAAATATGGATAATCAAATGGTTTCAAATCACTTCAAAACCGAATTTGTGAAACGTATGAGTAAAATTTGATCTATTTTAACTAACATGCAATGAAGTATGTTAATACATACAAATCCTTGTCCGGTTAATTAATAATAATAAAATCATTGCACTGTTATAAAAGATAATTGTATCATTGACTTTTTTCCCTTGATTTCTTGACAAAGGACTACGGCAGTGTTTGCAAAACTGTCGATTGTGATCTACTAGTAAGCAATTTTTGATAGATCACGATCATGCTCACGTTTTGCTAACCTGGACTTGTTCTACAGAGCACAAACAAGTACAGAAACAGACTCACTGTTGAACATTTGGTCAACTACTTTCCCAACATAAAAAGAATTGTTAATGACAAAAATGAAAGCCATCCTTGTCATTTACAAGTCTGTTAAAAAATCTGTTCTTATAATCTATTAGTAACTGTATTTCAATTTTTTTAACATGCAATTCCATTTCAATTTATTTTTCTTTTGTACAGTTGTATTAAAATTTGTTTCATATTTAATACAAATGTATGTTTATAGACAATAAACAAATGTTAAGATTTGAAAAAAAATTATATATTTTTTTGACTTAATTTCTTGGTAGCTTACATTAGGATTGAAAGGTATGGTTGCTCACAAGCTTCTTTAGTTGGCAAACATTGGACTATGGTGAGAAGAAAAAAATATTAAAAAAATTTAAAGAAATGGAAACATTTTAAAATTTTTCTCAATTGCAGAAAATACCAATAACTTCAAATTGTAAGGAAATATAACTCTGAGAAAAAATACTGGTCTTGTATAATTAAAGGAGCTTCTACGAAGGTGATTATATGAATGAAAAATTATTCAATTAATTTTGTAACAGTAGTTATAACAGTCAAGTATATAACTAATCTGGATTGTTTACCTACATGATCATTAGAATAATCAGTTAGAGTATATATATACAGGATTACTGCTACTTGTTGACTTATTACTATTCTATATGAAAAATTATTATTTTCCATATAAAATAGCAATATCAGCTTACATCAAGGACACATGTTTTACAGAAATATACTTTTTATTTCATACAAAAACATTTTATACACAGTAAACAAAATGACAATATTAATATTTCAAGAATATTTTATATAAACAAAAGACTTCACTTTATATAGATTCTCTCACCGTAAAAGAGAAATTATTTGTTTCTGCTTTTGATGCAGCAATCACACACACAATACCTTGGCTATTGGAAGATTTTCCCCTCTTTTAGGTATCAAAAGTGTGCAGTAGTGACATAAATGAGATTATCATTCACACACACACTCATACACATAGCTCTTTGAATTCAAACATGCCAATAACATGTGAACAAAATTCAACATGTATTCAAAAAACACATTCAATGAGTCACACGCACTTAAAATATTCCTGGCTACATATTTGCCATATATGTGCCCAACAAATACATAATGTAGTAAGTGTTTAAAATTGCTATTGTTCAGGCTTCCATGCTTTCAGAACTTGTCGGAGGATCTTTCCTGAAGGATTACGTGGGATTTTATCCAAAAATATTACACCTCCCTCAAGACGCTTATATTTCACCACTCTAGGTTCAATATGTTTCTTGATTTGTTCTTGAGACAATTTCTTGTTAGGATGAAGAACAACAAATGCCCTGGGCAATTCGTCATGTCTGTCATCGGGAATTCCAACAACAGCACAATCTGCTACTTCTGGTAGTTCCATAACAAGGTTTTCTAGTTCGGTTGGCGACACCTAGAAATAAACAAGAAAATCATAATTGATTATTGCTTAAGAATTAATTGAACTTGGAAAAAAAAAAGATGTAAATGAATATTATTATTAGTTAAGAAATTAAATTAAGTAATTTTATATTAATGTAAGTTAATGTTCATTGTAAGCTATTTTAAATTTTATTGAACTAAAATGTAACTTGTAAAGAATCTGAATAATTACTGTAAATATACATTTTTCATTGCAAGTTAATGAAATTGTTAGTGTTGTTGTTATTATTATTATTATTATTATTATTATTATTATTATTATTATTATTATTGATTTTAATCATGTTAAACGTATTAAAATCAGTTTCATGTATAATTGTGTTATTTCGTGAGGAAATACAAATATGTTAATGTGATTCACTGGAATAGTTTTTTTGTATATTTCAAAAATTGCGCCATTGTTTGATATCTTGCCATCTTGTTTCTTGATAATTTCGATACAACGAGATGGCGCTAAAGTCGCGCGAGAGTGCCAACCTTGGAATGTAATGAGATAAATAAGCTGGACTTTGTACTCTTGTTACATCATGTCACTCGTAGTCAGGCCACAGTCCGAGAATACTACGGCTATTATCATATGCGACTTTTACTACGAATATACCAGACACGCTTCTAGAATCTTTTGCTGTGTAATGGTGCAATGGATACTTAACTTGAATAAGTGCCTAGTAATTATTCTAAAAAGGTGAATCATTTATTAACCTAAAAATTTGAAACTACTTCAAGCCCATTACTCTGTAATAATTTGTAATATAACGTTTAAATGACGGACTTTTATGTTCATTGCGCAGTCATTTGTTTCAAAGGTTATTTTGAGTTGTAATGTTGGTTCTACTGGACTGATTGCTGGTTGTTTGCGTCGATAAGAAGTGTGTGTAGTGAATTTGTGTTATTCTGACTGTGTGGTTGAAAATTAGCGGAGAGCAATGGTAAATCCCGAAGAAGTACTTCAATCATTAGACGAGTTCTCAAAGTTGAAGCCGAAAGATATTCCACGCGAACTAGAAGAATATCTTATGTACGTGGCTAAAACTGGCGACCCTGTGTATCAATGGTCGGTGGTGAAATGTTTGTTTCGTGAGAAGATGTTGAACGTCATAACAGATTTTTACGAGTCGTGCCCTTCCATCGACCTTCCACCGTGCCCGAACGTCGACCCTTTTAACTACGAAACGATGAAAGCGAGTCTGTTGGAGCGCTTGGAATCCTTTTCGAACGCCCCGTTCACCGTGCAGAGGCTCTGCGAGCTGCTCACGACCCCGCGAAAGGAATACACCCGCGTGGACAAGTTCATGCGCGCGATCGAGAAGAACATCCTGGTGGTGAGCACAAAGGAGCCCGGAGGGTCTCGTGCGCGGCCGGACGCCCCGCCGCCGCAGCCGCCACCGTCGTCGCAAGCGGACGTGCTCATGAATGGGGTTATGGACGGCCGCGGGGCGGGCGGCCTGGACATCGGGGAGGCCGTGGAGACCGTGAGCAGCGAAGGCGTCAACCTCATGCAGGCCGGGGCGGACGTGGCCTTGGCGGAGACCATTCGCGTGGAGTGCGAGGACATCGAGATGGACGACGCGGCCTCGGCCGGAGTGTGGGACCCCAAGGCGGGAGGCGAGCGTGCGGCCGACGCCACCGCTTCCACTGCCACCGCCACCGCCGTCGTTTGGGACGCCAAGGCAGAGGAAGAATGTGCAGTCAACGGAGACGGACTCAAAGTTATGGACACACCGGTTGAAGGGTCCACGGTGGTGTGGGACTCCAAGGATGGAGAGTGCGGGGAGAGTTTGAAGGCTTTGTCACCCTCTCCAGAAGCTGCTCCGCCAGCTGCAGACCCTCCTGCTGCGTCCAAACCAGCTGAGGACGAGCACGAGGCTGCTGCGGTTGCTGTTGTATCGGAATTTCTTACTCCTAACCGAGAAGACTTTGGACAAGGAGGGGAAATGAGCACAGGAGTTGAGAATGTGCCTCTTGTCCTCGCATCTGGCCCTGATCCTGAACCGCAATCCGGTGGAGCAGTTTCTGATGTAAGTGCTGATTGCGCCGTTCAAGTTGCAAATCATGATCTTGAACCGGTTGTCACAGAAACGATTCCCAAAGTTGAGGAAACACAATCAGAAGAGCCTGTTTCTGAAGGGGATAGTAAAGAGGTTGCAGAATCCAAAGAATCTGAGTCGGAAGATGCTTCCCAAGTCGATGCGGAATCTGGCATCAGTTGTTCTGCAGATAGTTCCTCTGCTTCGTCTGATTGTGCTACTGCTGAAATGAACCAAACTCTTGAGACTAACGGCACTCTGGAAATCACATCGGTGGAATCTGAGGTGATGTCTCCTTTGGAGGGATTAGAAGATGTCACCTCCAACATATCTCCCCCTTCCCCAGATACAGGAGCCACTCTTGACGGCGGAGAAGTGACCCCACCACCCACGTTCGCTGAGATGACTGCTGACGAGGACACCCAAGACGCTGTACGTAGCAGCGACCCTCCAGACGATGAAACGGACGGGGAGCCCGAAGAGATAAAAGAAGAAACTGGGACCAAATTAGAAAGCACACCAGAACCTGTTGTACCATTGGAAACTAAAATGGAAGTGGACGAAACTTCTGCCGTGGAAGATATTCAGACCGAAGAGCCAGTTGTTGAACAGTGCGTTTTGGAAGTCCCTGCGGAAGCTGTGGAGCCCCAGTCACAAACATCGTCTCAAGAAGAAACTGCTACAGAACAGGCTGATTCTAGTGTCTTACCATATAATATTGTTTAGTAGTTCCATCCCATCATGCCTCTTAACAAGAAGTATGAATTAACAAATAGGGCTAAATCTTCCTACTGAACAGAACTGCCATCACCGATCAATTTATACTGTTACACAACCGAAAATTATATTGTATTTTGTGCTGTTTTCATATTGTGAAATTGTTAGAATGATACATGACATTATATGCAGCTGAAGAGCATTGAAAGTGTATTAGTTAAAAGTATGTATGCTACCATGATTTTGAAGTCAGAAAGGTTATTGTGGTCTTATTCGATTGTGTCGTAAGTATATATCCTTGATAGGCAGTTTTCCTTCAGATTTACTCCTGTTATTTACCATATGAGATTTTTCCATTGTAAATATCATTTCACTTCAACTCTGAAGGACGATACAAATAGACTGCAAAGCATAGTCGGTAAGATTTTCTGTTGAACATTTTATAAGTTTCTCCTGGACAAATTCAGAGCGGATACTTTCTAGAAAATGTGGAAATCCAAGAAAAATTGGGGATTTTTATTGCCCTGGAAAAAGTTAGGGAATAATCGGAGAATTTGTAAAGTCAAGGAAAGTTTTGAGTCAGTGATAAACTATATGTAATTCCTTAAAATCATAAGTACAGAGTTAGTTTTTGCTTCATTTTTATCTAAGTTAATAGTTGTTAATTTGTATTTATCTCAACAAAATAAAGAAAGCTGAGAATTGGTATCAGGCTAACTTATAAGTATTATTTAATATTTTCTTTAACAAGAGTAAAATACTTATTAGGACAAAATAAAAATTTTAAAAAATTCTGAAAAACTGGGAATGGTTAGGGAAGTTTGTTGTTGCTATTTCATTTTTGAGGGGGTGTCTCAACTTCAAAGGGATTTGTTTAAGTACTTAACTTTTGCATATATTCAAGCTGTTATTGTGAAAATCTAAGTGTGACTGGTTAGTTCTCACAGCAAATATCTATTTTTATACAAACACTGCTTTGAATTGAGCAGTCTGGAAAGTTAATTACGTCACAAAATCAAAAATAATTTTTAACTTGCACTTATATTCGTTAAAAGTAATTCAGTGATGATCAGTATAAAATTCTGAAGTACAATTGTTCAGATTCAAAATTATTGTGAAAATATTTTGCACTCAAAATGAAAATATAACTTAAGAATCTTATTAGAAAACCAAATAATAAATATGTAGGGCAAGAAAATTACAAAAATTACAGAAACTTCGGAAACAATCAAAAGTTCAAATCAGTAATAAAAAAGTTTCGAGTTTGAAATGTTACTTTTTAATGATGGATGCTATTTGAGCCAACTGGGAGAACTTTGGTTGAGGTTGAATCTTCTCTTGCGTGTTTATATTGTGACTATTTTGAAGGCTCTATGTTGTTTGCAGGTATTTTGTTGTAAAATAGAAAAGAGGGAGGTTGCGACTGTAGCTGAGAAGTGTAATTTCAACAAAGAAGATTGTAAGATAGTTAAAGATTTGCTTTGTTACATATGCAAGAGGTTTGGTTGAAACAATACCTCGTTCGTGTTTTGCGTGTGATACTAGTGCTACCTGGTTGGTCAATTTGTAACTGTAACTATATCTGCCATCTCGTACTTTACAGTTTGTATATAGAGTATTATAATATGTGGAGAACATTCGGTAACTAAGTTACCAGAAAGAAATGCGTTCAGTGTGTAGTAGTTAATGAATTGCTTACAGTTACGAATGTTAGTTGTGAATTGACATAATTTAGAGGTTCAGTATATTGCAGGAATTCAGTGGTTTAATTCCACATTTATTGTTGGGTGGTGTAGAGTGGTTTTTGAAGTTTGATGTACTGATCGCTATTACAGAGTACAGTCTTCCTTTTTTTCTTTCTTACAAAATAAAACTTATTTTGTGAGGTGTTTTACAAATACACCATGCATTTTTATTGGAGGAAAGTTACTGAATTTGTTTTGTGAAGCCCTAAATTTTGAAGAACTGTTTCAAAAAAACAAATAACTAGTCAAAGTTAATTTTTGTTTCTAGCTGCACGGAAATAATTAATGCATAACTAATTTTATAACTTGGGCACAAGAAAATGCAGGGATGATTAATCGTGTGTGTAATCCTACCCATCAGATAGGATAATTTATATTATAGTTAGTTGACATGTTAAATAGTTTTGCGATATGTCTTATGGATCATATATGCTTTAAGGATGACTAGCTTAAACGTGTTTGAGGTTCTGTATTTCAAAACAGTTGAATTATTAACCTTGTGGTTTGCATCAGCTATAGAAGACTGATTATGTTGAATTGCAATGAATGCATGAATCTGACACCAATATGTATTCTCTTATAAAGTTAATAAGGAATTAATTTCTCTTTGTTTCTCCAAGAAAAGTATCAAATCAGAACTACATCTGTGCAATAGGTGATGATAATTTGAGTTTTTAAGTTAATTGTATAAAGTTTTGAGTTAATTATATAACATTTTAACATTAGAGATTTTGTGTTAAATTGCAGTTAAATAATAAATGCTGATGTTCATGAATCGCATAGTTGAGGACGTATAATTTTGCCTCTCTTTCTAACGTCGATATTGTGGTGGGAGGTGCATCATGTAAACATTGTCTTAGAAAATCCGTTATGCAAGTAAGCCTCTAGGCAAGAGCCTACGGAGGAGACCTACAACTCAAACCCGCGTTGTTGAATCGGCACAAAACGATTGGAATAAAATAAGTTTGCTAGGGATGACAAAGATTGAAGAATCGATTGAAAATGAAAACTAGTGAAGAGAGCTGTTGTGATTATCACAGTATTCATACTCAATTGTATACATTTGCATCAAAATTTTTAAAGGTACTTTTAAAACTGCATGTTGGTAGGTAGCAGAGTTATAGTTTTCAAAAAATAAATAAATTTGGAACCATGGTTGTAGAATTTTTTAATGCTTGTATTTTATGACTTGCTGTCACTGTAGTAGTGCCTTCATTCAATAGACACCTCAGCAAAAGTAGATGAAAGTGTACTAGCAACAATGAAGTAAAATTGTGTAATCTTGAATCACACAATATGAGATACTTTAGGCAATTTTTATTATTAATATCCCACCTGCTCAGCTGACTTTTGTAATAACTTTCCTCATGTAAAACTGACAGTTTGAGTAGCTGTGTTTATATCTAATATTTGTTATATAATTCTGTGTGTGGTAAATAGAAAGGCTACAGATTTTATTTGACCTTTGTTTTAATGTGTTCATGAAATTGTTTTGTTTTGGTCAAAGGAGAAAAACCAGTTTACATTCCTTGTTTCAGATATCAAGGTGATTGTATTTTAATATGTTAATGATGACAGGCTTTTACTTGATTTTTATGTAGATAAAGTAGTGGTATTGACTTTAAATATTGTACATTTATGTTTCTTTAGGTACAACAGCCTCCATAAGATGCCTTTATAGATAAGTTCCTAGCACTGTTCTATCTTGAAATTTCAAGTCAACTTTATTTTGTAACAAAGTGTGTCATTTAAGAATATAGTTGAGCCAAAGTTCTCTTGTGGTTTGTGTTTTCAATAATACATTATATAAACTACTGTGTCTTTTCCTTTTTAATCGTATCATTTCATTTATTGTTTGTTTCAGATATTTTTTTCCACAGTATTCATTTGGAAAGAGAAAGTTGTAGCAACAGATTATCAAGTATTCAAAGTTTTCAACTTTATTTAACCTGGTGTAACAAGATATGAAATCGTTAATTTGTCACTTGTGTGAGATAAGACTTGCAATACACAAGATATGACTGATACTTTTTGTGGGTTTTTCGATTCAGAATTTAAAATACCTTTTCCCTGAATTTTCATGTTTCTTATCTGAATAATTGGCTCTTGTGTTGTAAAGAACACTACTGTAAGATTGTGCAAAAGTAGAATAATAATGTAATCTAAATTACAATAGTACTATGTTGGATAATTATGTCTTCACTTACTTTATGAAACCTTAATACACAAAGATTTTCAATTTAACCATTTGTTGTATTGCAATCGCTCAAAAATTCTTTGTTAACATGATACAGGCTCTCATCTGACATGACAAGACGCAAAAATTCTCTAATTTTGAGAGCATGGTCAGTCTTGGGGGGGGGTTAACTAGAGTAAAATATCATCCCTTTCCTGGGAAGAAGAATGACCGTACAAATTTCTAAAATGTATTTATTATTTCAATAGTTAGTTTTTGTACTACATTGAAAAGAATAAAAAGAGTGGCATACTTTTTGAGCTTTTAATTTTGCAAATGTTGATCACATTGCTTAAGTTCGTATTGTCCAATATCATCATTTTCTATGGACTAGAAAATGTAATATTTCTTGCATTGTTTGTAGATATGTTTTTAGTAATGTTAGTTTTGGGAAATCCCCGGTTGGCTACTGTAATGGGTAAAGTTACACATCTCGTTAGTGCAATTGAAAGGTTCAGAAATATTAGTCATTCTTTTAACTTTAACTTTCTTGCATGTTGTGTAGTCAGAATCCACGTTTTGTAGGTGTTTGATAATCTAAATTCGATAGACATAAAAACGTCTTTCTGTGGTCAACACTAGCACCAAAACAGATATTCCGTGATCAATTTTAAATAACTCAAGCCCCCTTAAATTTGAAATGGATATTTAAATTTCTGGGGTACTTTACATAGTTCCTTTTTTTACCCCCCCCCCAAGTTTGTAATTAAACTTTGTCCTTGGATACCATAAAGAAATCTTAAAAAAATTGGGTGGGGTCTTTAAATTTTTTTAGCATCTTAACAACAATAATTTTGAAGATTGAGACTGTTTTCCATAATAAAATCAGTATTTCAAAGACATCTTGAAATAAGGTCATGCAAAATTTTTTGAAAATATCGTTTTTTCATAATTTTGAATGAAATGTAGGCAATTTTAAAAAATGTTTAAACAATTATTTTCGTAATAACTGGTCCAAATATTTTTCTCAAATTTTCACGTATGTATGAAAGGATGGTAAAGGAAAATGGTTTCAGTTTTATTTCCGATCAATTCGGTATTTTCAAAATTCCCAGAAAGAAAACATTCCAAATCTACAATATATATAGATTTTTGTCTTCAGAAAAATCTGTGCAAAAGAATCAAATCTTTGAGAAAGAAATTAAACAATTTGTTTGAAAAAATGAATGTGTAATTTTTACTTGAAGTTAATGCAATTTATATCGAAAAACATATTTTCAAAAAACGCTCAATTTTTTCCCCCTTGATAGTACAAGGGATGCTTAAAAGAATGGTGCAAGACAGTGAAGGAATTCATTTTTGTTAAACACACTCAATTTTCAAAAATTGCAAATCTAGAAATAAGGCAAGAAAGTTGTGCTGTTGGAACCCTTATTATCTTTATTAGTATTATATGTTGCAAAGCTGCTGTTGCTAACATACAATCTTTTAATGGAATATTTTGAAACACTTTTAATTCTCATAAATCGACACCATTAATATCTTCTCGTTCACCACAGATTAAAAATTCCCTTAATATGCAATCAATTATCTTGTAACTCTTTAACATAACTGTTTTCCTCTATATCAGATTTTACCCTTGATAATTATTGATAAGAAAAAATTTGTGATCTGCCATTTGCTTTCAAGACTTCCAATTGTCTTGTAAAGACTTAAGTGCTCTATCAAGTAAAAAGTAGAAAAATTTATCTTGTGTAACAAATGTTTCTCAACTACTGCATGCTCGCCGTACACTAAGGTCAGTCCTGTTCCACTGTAGCATTACCAATGGGCTCACCAATGATTGATTGATTGTTTTAGGTTTAAATTTTTGTAGGAAAGTGAACGTCCTTGATATTGTACATGAAGTGCATTTTGTTTAAAATATGATGCAATTTATTATAGCAAGTTTTGTAATAATTTGAGTTATTAGTGTCTTAAGATGTGGGTTAAAAAAATTCTAGATGATCCATTCAAAAACTGAATATTTAGAACACACTTTAGAAAGATTTGTTGTATTTTAAGATGTATTATAACATTTTAGTATGTTACTATGTTAAGTATATACTGCAGCCTCTTTTGACCTACAAATATATGTTTTCTCATTAAAAACAAATATCAATGTGAGGAAGTAGATTTTTTCATTTGTAGACCCAGAAATTGAATAATGTTTTTATTTTAAATGAATGCACATGTATGTACGTATTTGAAATTTTGGGTCAATTGTCTGACTGCTGGCTAGCTGTCCCTCATGTTTAGGTCTAGTTAAATTCCCATCTTAAGGTCTTAGAGTGACAGGTGGTGAACATAATGTATTCCCTTCTCCGTAACTATCTAACTCCACCGGCCTGAGTTTTTCTTTGTCACACAGCTACAGAAACATAATTTTAAAGGAAGGCTACAACTCTGTTTTTATGTATCTCAATATCAATTTATTAATTTATCAAAAACATTAGAATTGTAATAATTCGAGTCTTGTGAACAAATTTGGTGTCAGGGAGGTGCAGGGATATGATGTTTTGTACACATGTATGCACATATATTTGTATTATTAATAAACTGAAATTGACATCAATATCATCAAAACTGAAGCAGAGGGCTTCAGCGATGGCTTTGGAAAGGCAAGGGACTATTTATTCCTTGGAATTGCTAATTCAATCTTTTAACAATTAAGAGAAGAAAAAAGTAACAAGTGTCTGTAATTAAGTGATTTTATTTTCAAAAGCCTGCAATGTTGTCTGAATTACTTTACTGTGCTCCGTGAAGTCACAGAAGCTAAGTATTGTGAGTCCGCAGGGAACCCATGTTATTAACAGCGTTAAACATCTTAGCTTGTTTTCTAAATTGTTATCTGTTAATCAAGCTCATAATGAATTCATTTTTGAGAAAAGTGTTTCACAAACTCGTGGATCCAAAGGCACTTTCAACTTGTGGAAAATATCTTAAATTGGAATATTTCTGGGGTGTGATGTAAGTTTTAAAGGAGCCACTGGCCGAAAGGATGAAAGGCACTCGCCAACTGCGATGTTACAAGTCAAACGAGAAATAATTAACAAAGAATTATTCTAATGCACTCAATGCCCAAAAAAGGGTTAAAGAGGCATGTTGGGTAAAAGATGCAATACATAAATAAAAGCTCATAACGTAACAAGGGCTATTAAATTTCCATATTAGTATTGTGACTGATGATTATGTTTACTTTAATGTTTTAGAAATGTCAAAGTTTGATTTTATAGCAATTGCCTTAGATCTGTCATGGCCTACCCACATAGGTTCACTGGCCACTATGAAGACTCGTAACATTATAGCAAAGTTGCACTTACAGTGAATACGTTTCTAAAATAAATTATAAAAATACAAAACAAATAAAATTATTTTTTTCTCTCAGTAAATATAATTAACTCTTCAATCTTAATGAGATATGTGTTTCTCTTTCTTTCATTTATTTTTTTTAATGCTGTATTTACATTAGATGTTGAACATCTTAGCTTGTTTACTAAATTGTTATCTTTTAATCAAGGTCATAATTTTTGAAAAAAGTGTTTCACAAATCGTGGATCCAACTTTCAACTTGTGCAAAATATTTTAAATTGGAATATTTTTAGGGTGTGATGTAAGTTTTAAAGGACTTCGTTAACAAAAGCACATGTACATTTTCATGTATTTAATAGTTTTGTATGCAGTGTGTCCAGGGAGGGAAAAACCCCTTAAAAATAAGCTCTGAAGTCTATTTATAGCATATTTTGTCTAATAAACTCCATCAATATTTCAAATGGCTGAGCCACAATAAACACTCAAAATTTAGTTTCAAAAAATACTTTCTATGCAAAATTTGCATTTCAGAAACATAAATCCTCCAGAAGCATGTGAATTGTTAATTATTTACAGAAGAAAAATATATTTGTTCAGAAAACATTTCACCCAAATAAAAATGGAATTGAATTGTGTAAAGTGGGTGCTTCTTTTTTTTTCTGTGTTAAATTTTCTTTTTCAAAATAATATATTTTTTTCATTTGTAAATAATTAATAATTTACCTGTTTTTGAACTGTTTCTGAAGTACAAATTTTTATAAAGAAAGTGTTTTCTCAAACCACCTTTTGACTTCTTGCAGCTCAGCTATTCGACATATCAAAGTTTATTAGACAAAATATACTTAAAATTGACTTATGAACTTATTTTAAAAGTTTTGTAGTTTCCCCTCTGAACAACTTGTCTATATTACAAGAATTTAAAATTTCAATATTTGTCATATAAAATCATCCAGTGGATGCTAATTTGTGGCTGCCCATATGTAGTGTGGGTAGTGAAGGCCTGCCTTAGATCTAAGAAGCCTCCTGATATCAGAAATATTTTTCCAAAAGAAAACTATTGAAGAATGTTTGAGATGTTATGAAGCAATTGAAATCATCATTAAAGTTACAATATCTTCTAATGCAACTTATGCTAACATTGTTTGTGCTGTTGCATATTGTTGGTAGGCTTGTTTATTCTTAGTAAATAAATGAAGCTGGAAAGAGAAAGACACATCTACAAATGAGGCTGAACTCACATTTTTTGTGTTTTGAGTTAACTATTGTTTTTTTGTCCCCCCCCCCCCTTTACATATCACATTACAAACATTTTCACCGTTAATGCATTGAGTATGTTTCCATGAATAATTAACATATAATTCCAAAGAGAACCTGTTAACCAATAAGTAGGCTACCTTGTACCTCTACATCAGCCATTTTTGTGCTAAGTTACATACCTATGCGTTCTTTTAGAGATAAAATGTTCTTTGTTCTCATAGTATAGGTCTATAAATTACAAAATACAAATTTTTCAGTATTTTGAATACCTTCTCTCCCACTGTACTGCAGCTATAATGGGTGCTTGCTTCACACACACACACACACACACTCACACTCACACTCACACTCTCACACACACACTCACACTCTCACTCTCTCTCTCACTCTCTCTCACTCTCTCTCTCTCACACTCTCTCTCACACTCACTCTCACTCTCTCACACTCTCTCTCTCACACTCTCTCTCACACTCACACTCTCTCTCACTCTCACACACTCTCACACACTCTCTCTCACACACACACACACACAGAGTCCTTAAATAATTACAGAATGCTTGAACCCTCCCCTGTTCCATTTACATTAAGTTAAAATAAATAATAAAGCAGAAACAACATATAGTAATTTTATTTGTGTTATATATTAAAATTTATGATAATTACAGCCAGAAATAGTTGGTAGTGCGAACTGTGCCTAACAATAAGGTTGAGGACAATTTTTGAATGAAGAACCTCAACCTACCCCAAAATTGCATTTTTCCAAGAAAAATGTTTTTCATTGTTTCTTCTGCATTGATATGATAACTTTTAATGCTTAAAACAGTTCATTTATAAGTTTGTTAGTTTTTGATGTATTGGTACTTTTCTGGATGCATGTGAACGTGTCATGTCTCATGACCATTGGAGTTCAGTTCGCAATGATTGCCAAAAATGAAAGAAAAAATAGATTATTTAATGAAAAATGTATAAAATGTAATTTACCTAATGTAAAGACCTTATGTTGTCAGAATATCCATTTTGGACATTCTTTCTTCCAATTAGGGGTTGAGTGTGCACAGACAACCATTTTGGAGCTAATGAATCTTAATCTGACTTTTCCTTAAACATTTTCTCTTGTTTGGTTGGACTTGACACATTATAACTGTTCTAATTTTGAAGATATATTAATGATTCTTATTTTATTAAATAGGAGAGAGCCAGTTCTTGTGAGTAAATCTAAAATTGTTATAGAAAATGCATATTATCAATAATAAATTGCTCTGTTAATTAATAATGGTACCAGTGATTTGTAAAAGTTTTAATTCAAAACCTTGAAAAGTACATACAAGTCCCTTATCAATCTTTAATTTTAGGTTCAGGCACTAAATTATGATGCAAGTAACTATTAAAAAAATCATCAAAAAATTTTTAACGATTCTCTTAATTTTTAAAAGATTGAATTGACAATTCCAAGGAATAAATAGTCAATGCAGTTCTGAAAGTATGCAATGCACACTCTGTTGGGTATGACATGTGGACGACGAGTCTACTGCACCAGTTTAATTGCATTTGAGAATACATATCAGTTTTGAATATTTTCTTTGTAATTGAATTTTTTAATATTTTAAAGTTATAGTTTGAGACTGAATAAAAGTAATTATTTTAGCAAATTATGAAATATTTAAAAAAAATAAATATCAACATTATGCAAAACTTAATCATGCTGCTCTCCCCTTTCCCTATGTAACACCGTGTTATTCTGTCTCAACCCCTCCTCTTTTTTTATTTTATTTTCTCATACAGTGAGGGAAGTGCTATATAAGAATGAACAAAATTGCAACTTAACTCGTGCAGCTCTAAGAATCACAAACAGGAGAGTGAGGATATTCCCACTGATGGTCTCAAATAATCAATAGTTATTGTTTACGATGAAAATGGGAGAATTGTTTACATTTTCAGGAAGATAAATGTTACACAGAGAATGTTTAAGAAAAATCATGTTTCTCTTTAAGGCAGTTTAAAATTCATCTTTTGAATATCTAGATTTGATTCTTTTGCATTGGTTGTAGGTTTTTCCTAGTTTGAATAAAAAAGTTGCAGGGGAGGATGATAAGGAAACAAAGAATTAATTTAATTGGTGTCTGATATAATGATCAATCTCGTGAAAATCAAACTCTATGTACAGTTGCTTGTTTGACATGGACCATAGCAATTTGATGGCAGTGCAAAGGATTTTATTTTAAAATTTTGGATCATTTTATATATCGAAGGGGCCAGCTTCTCCCCAGACAGGACCTGCATAAGTAAGTATGGGACAAATGGCAGTTTTGTAAAATAATAGAGAGAGATCTGTTTGAAGAGGACTTTTTGTTTCTTAGAGGATACATTATCAAAAGTGCAGCCTGTGCCTTATCACATTTATTTAAAATGTGCGTTTTTCAAGTCAGTGTAGTGTCAAGGAGCAGTCCTAGATATTTTATCCATTTATTTGGAGGATTCCAAAGAACATTTTGATTACTAATATATAAGTGGGACTGTTGATGCACCATAGTGTCAATATCTTATCTTTGCATTTGCCATTGTGTGTTTGTCTCAAATGGGTATATCTAATGCGAATGTGTTAAACAATGTAGGAGAGAGTAGGGATCCTTGAGGGACCCCAATGAGCATAATTGAAGTCCCCCTGTAGTGTTACATAATTCACGGATGACCACAGATCCATACGAAAGCCTTTGTCGTAACCACACAACAAAAGGGAGGGAAACATCAACAATGGACACCAGAAGAAATTGCAATATAATTGAAGGAAAAATGAAGATATTTAAGGGACTAACTTAAGGTTATAACTAATGGTACAAGTATTAACCAATATATGACAATAAATTCTTCCAAATTTGTGTTAAAATATTTTCAGTTTTTGATGTATGGCACTATATATATATTTTGAACATTTTCTGTGCTTGCGGTTCTTTCCACAGAGACGCAGATGGTCACATCCTATTTTTGAACTATTAGTTCAAAATTTACTATCTTGCTTTAATTGCACAACTGTTACCTACAAAGTTAGATATTGAAATAAGATTTTGACATAATAATGGAGAGCTACCGCTGAAAGACAATGCTGGAGTTTCCATGAAATTATTATGTGCTTTCAATTTTTTTTATTAGCATTAATAAGTAGGGAGTGGATTGTAATGAAATATTTAAATTTTTTTTCCTTTTGCTTTAGAACAATTCCATTTAATATAGAAATTAATTTTAATGTTATGACAAAAGTTATTGTCACGTTATTGCATTTTATAGGTCTTTTTTTGTTGATTTGGAGTAATAAGTCATATATTACCTTTTCCTGTCATTTTAATGTATTTGTCGTTGATATTATAGATTTTAATATTATTTTAATGGTACTTGCTTCACATATTATTTACAAGATGCATCAAGTGTTCTCTCCACAGAATTCCTGAGGAGCCTATTCAATTTCTTGCACTCTGAAATTGTAATGTCAGCGTTTAATCTAAGGTTCCTGTGATGCCTATCAGTGTCATTCTTGGTTTGGCCAAATAACTAAAGACAGATTTCCTGGTAAAGAACAGTTCAAACCAAAAGTTTCTGTGAGTTCACATGAACAAAATGAAAAATACTTGATTGTAGCCAACAGCTTGAGTTGTTCATCTGAACTGGTTTTGACCACATACTTATGTTAATTTTCTTTGCCTTAAGGGCATTTTTAAAACATTTTCAGAACAATTTTATTGATCGTTTTTGGTGTTGTTTTAGGTCATCAAAATTATCCCCCAGTGATCAACATAATTGCAAAATAACAGGCTCAAAAAGGAATCCACGTTTAATTCTTTTCAATATTGTCAAAAAAAGTTGGATTATTGCAGTAACATATATATTTTTTCAAGGGAATTATATTTCTCCTTGAGTATCACACCCGGAGGCTGATCCTGTCTGCCTGTACCTCGCGTAAGTGCTGTTGCAAATAAATATGACTTACCTGGTTACCCTTCACCTTGATAAGTTCTTTCGTTCGGTCCACAATATAGAAGTAGTTTTCTTCGTCGTAATAGACTACGTCACCAGTGTGCAGCCATCCCTCTTCGTCAATTGTCTCCTGCGTTGCTTTCTCATTGTTAAGGTATCCCTTCATGAGCTGTGATGGGCAAACACAAGACACATTTTACTAAGTTTGCTGTGAGGGAAAGCCTCATGAATTTTTGTCTTTAATTTTTGACTTGTGGTCAGCAGCAGCAGCAAATAATATGCTGAACAAAGCCATCAAAATGATTGTTCAAAGGGTAGCATGCATACTGCACAAGAACAACAAATAAAATACTCTAATATAACAATATACTGCAATAAATTAAGTATTTTAACAACAACTGACTTCATAAATGCTGCAATAACATAGGGATTCACAGAACAAAAATTCTTTACAAATCCAGAATATAAAAAGTTGCTATTCTGTAATGTAACATGCAAATGATAAATATTTAATGGTGGATAACATATCTAAATCTACAAATGGCCAATTTCCAATTTGTTCTATTTTTTAAAATTTAATTTATTTCCAAACCCCAATTGCAATCAAGCAGCAGTCATGTGAAAGTTGCAAACTTTGCTACTGATCACAATCGTGCCTCAGAAATGACCACTTGACCTGAATGTGTTCAAGAACTTCAAAAAGAAGTAGTTCAAGCTACATTATTGCAACACTAATGTTAATGTTTTTGACTTATTTTTTATGTATGGGAAAAAGGAAAAACAAAAATTTCATCTCCGTTCTACATCTTGTTATTAGAAGGCATAAGTTCCCTCATTCTGCATCTTTAAAGCAAGTGGGATGTCTGCAATTCTTATTTAACAAGTTTGTAGCTGAACAGAACCTGTAGTGAGACAACAGTGACTATTGTTCTTTGCTCTAGTTGTTTTTTGAAATCATTACACGGGAGCTAACTTTTCTTGAAATGAAATATTGAAATGTTTTGGCTAAACACTCATTGTGTTATTCGTAATTCAACCTAGGGGTAGAGATTCCAGAGTTCAAGTAAACATGAATTTCTATCCATCTTTCATATAGTTTTGTTTTGTTTTTTGATATTACATAACTCATGAAAAATATATTATTAGATACACAAATAGACATGTAAACAAGTTGATTTACATTTCCTTTTACTAAGGGGAAAAATTTCTAGATTTCAAATGTTGCCTACAATGCTTTTTTGGTACCTTTATTTACAACTCTGCTTTTAATTTTTTATTTTTGGTATTTTAATTATTTTTTTAATGATAATTAAATTAAATATCAAATTAAAAGCTCCTGATTAGTGGTGTAGCTAGAAATGGTAGTTGTTAGCTATTGCTAAAAATGTGAAATGTTACCGAAAGTTGAGAAAATGAGTAATTGTATGTTTCACGGTTGATGCAATTAATTTCTGAAGGTTTTCAATCTTCGACAAAATGTAAAATTGATCGCAAAATGTGAAATCCTGTACAAATAGCGAAATGGTCATGAATTGCATGTAATTGCTATATTGCATTTTATCGCTTCCTTTCATGTTTCCCCTCTATCTATGGATGCATCATCAACAGCGCATCGATGTTTGAAAACATTTAATTTGAAAGTGGCCAACAGTGAAGAAATTGGATGATTTTTCAGTCAATGTTGTTTTATTTTCATTGACAGTAGAAATGGGTTAAAGGAAACCAACATTGAAATATGCTCTCCATTAATTTTTCACTGATTAAGTTATGTATTGATAATTGGAATTTATACAAATTGATGTCATTTAACACCAATACATGACCTTTTAAAATAATGTTTTGTTGTTTTAATAAGTATTTGCAAATTTGAAGATAATCCTTTGCCTCTTTTGAATAATGTTATACAGAAGCCTGTAGTTCTATATGAGAGACAAATAATTCTATGGCTTTAAAATTACTTCTTTAATTATTTGTTTGAGTTCACAAATGGTGAAATATTACATTAGTTTCCTTATTTCCCAATTTTAATGGGAAAATATAAAAATCATCAAAATATTTTTTTTATGTCAAAGAGACCTCACCTAACACTTCAGATATTATTCTTATCAAATGCTAATTTTAATTTTTATAATGCTATAAAATGTCTTGTATCCAAAAGGGTATTTTTAAAATTTAAAGTGCTAAATTCTACAATCACTCTACTTCGGTTTTTAAAACGTGGCATGTCAGGATCTTCACGATGGAATATCGCATGAAATTTCGCGTCTTTCTTGGTCGGTTATATATAGTAAGTTAAAAGAATAGCCTCCTTACCACGATTATAACACTTTAGGTCATTTATTTCAAAGCATTGTAGTTTTTAAGTGTTCTTCGTTTGCACGTCATTTTTTCCGAAAATTTGTGTTTTTACTTACACCCTGCTTACACCACTTTTGCTCTCAACGGCACATGTAGATGTTTCTGTTCGAAAATATGGATGTTTTAAAAATTTCTTGCCACGCTGGATGGAGAGATCCAGGACACCCCTACCGTCGCTAGAGGGTTTTCCCCTCAACAGGCGGGGCACCGCCCCAGCGGGGACGAGCTCTAAGCTCCCGACCGGTCTCCCGGCATGCGTGGTGCAAGCGTGAGGATAGGGCAAGGAAGTGGAAGGAAAAATCAAACACTGTCCGAGGCCCGGTTGGGAGGATACTAAGTTGACACAGTCAATAATTGTGGAACAATTCTATTTAATTATGACATCGGATATAGTAAGTAAAACGCGTTAGTTCGCTATAACAGATGTCGAAAAAAATCTATTTAATTTTGACAGTATCGGCTATAGCGAACCAACGTGCTCGGTTCGCTTTCGCAGATGCTGTCACAACTAAATGGTTTGGTTCCCAATAACCAGAGTCCAATGTGTATCGTAGATCGAGAGAGACATTCTATTTAGTTTCGATAACATCGGATATAACGAACAAAGCAGGCGGGTTCGCATTGTACCTGCGGCCCGGTGACGAGCAGCTCCCCGTGCTCCCGCGGCGCGGCGTCGGCGCCATCCGCCCTGAGCACGCGCGCGCGCGTGTTGGGGATGACGCGGCCGATGGACGTCTCCTTCTCGCGCCGCACGGCCAGCGGCACTAGCAGCGTCACCGGCGCCGTCTCCGTCATGCCGTACCCTGCGCACGCGCACGGCTCCGTCAGGGACAGCGCCAGGGGGGGGGGGCACTCGGCTCACGACTTCACACGGGGAGGGAAATGGAGTTAAGTTGAATGAAGTGGAGTTCACGCGAGGAATGTGAGCACTCGGCCGACTTCACACGGGGAGGGAAATGGAATTAAGTTAAATGAAGTGGAGTTCACGCGACCAATGTGAGCACTCGCCTGACGTCACAGGGGAGGGAATGGAGTTAAGTTATATGAAGTGGAGTTCACGCGAGGAATGTGAGCACTCGCCTGACTTAACAGAGGGGGAAATGGAGTTAAGTTATATGAAGTGGAGTTCACGCAAGAAATGTGAGCACTCGGCTGACTTCACATGGGGAGGGAAATGGAGTTAAGTTATATGAAGTGGAGTTCACGCGAGGAATGTGAGCACTTGCCTGACTTCACAGGGGGAAATTAAGTTGAGTTCAATTAAGTGGAGTTCAGGCGAGGAACGTGAGCACTCGCCTGACGTCACAGAGAGAAATTAAGTTGAGTTAAATTAAGTGGAGTTCGCGCAAGGAATGTCAGCACTCACCAAACGTCGCAGAGAGAGACGCATAAATTGCGTTCGCGCAAGGATCATATGCTGTCCGGTGACGTCACACAGGGATAGGGATATGTTGCGATAGCGCGAATTCAAGTTATTCGTATCCCTCTGCGGCGTCAGACGAGTGCTCACATTCCTCGCGTGAACTCCACTACATTTAACTTAACTCCATTTCCCTCTGTGACGTCAGGTGAGGACTCACATTCCTCGCGTGAACTCCACTTAATTCCCTCTGTGACGTCAGGCAAATGCTGCTATTCCTCGCGTGAACTCCACTTCATTCCTTGTGCGACGAGGCGCCATGGCACGCAAGCGAGCGGGAGGGAGCTGAGCGGGGCGCGCACCTTGCGAGACGACGAGGTCGTCGCGTCCGCTCTTGAGGCGGAACTTGTTGAGCAGCGCCTCAGTGGCCGGCGCCGCGCCCGACACCACCACGCGCACCGACTGCAGCATCTCGCGCGTCACGGCCGGGTGCACCGCCAGGAACTGCAGCAGGCTCGGCACCACCGCCAGCAGCGTCGGCTGCGCAACGCCCCGCGACCCGCCCGTTCAGCAGCGCCAACACACACACACCTCACCACCGCCCCCACACACCACCTCGCCTCCTCACTCGGAGGCGCGACGTCACACACTCACGCCCCCTCACCACCTCGCCTCCGTACTCGTAGGCGCTCACACACACACACACTTACTCACCGCTCACCTCCTTGTCTCCACACGTGCAAGCACAACCACATACACACACGCACACATACGCCCTCACCACGTCGCCTCCGTATGCGCAGGCGCTGACACACACACACACACCAATTCGCCTCCGTACTGGTAGGCGCTGACACACACACACACATATACAGATATTTTGGGACCTCTCCCAAAATTGGCAGGATTTTGGACACTAGCCGCAAAGCTCCGCCATTGGCGTGTTGATCGGAGTGATGGTGGGAGAAGCACTGAAAACTGTCCACCTGAGCAGCCGGGTGCTATAATTCTCCTCCAGACAGCGACTGAATTCGACCAAGCTAAGTAGCTAGTGTTGAAAATGCTGCCGCCGTCGGGAGTGGAACCCCAGGACCGCCAGGTCAGAGGTACTGCTGTGACATCAGTTGTTGTCGTGAACCACCTCAGTTGGTAAAATAACACAAAGAAGATGGAAGAAAGGAAAAAAGAGGGAGGAGTTGGAGTACCTTGTACTCGATGAGGCTCCTGACGTAGGCCTCGGGCGTGAACACGGGCATGGAGATGCTGTGCGAGCCGGACGCCACCGCCAGGTTGAGCACCCCGTTGAAGCCGTAGATGTGGAAGAAGGGCAGCACCGTCAGGATCACCTCTTGGCCCTCTGCAGCACACGCAACAGGCAACTCAATTAAATTCACTGCAATCCAATGACGCCCTCTTTTACGTGGCGAGACTCAGCCCACCACGCTTCTTCTATAGTCTGACCACGCAAATTTCGCCAACAGAAAGAAGGTATCACTTGGGCAACAGGCTTATCGCAAGTTAGCTTTTATGCTTAAGGATATTTTACAAACAGTAAATCTACAACATGGGACAGCCGGCTTTACTTCCTCTCTGAAGAAAAGGGTACGAAGAAAGTAGTACCAAGTTCCCAAACTACCGAAGTACCGATGTACCTAAGCCGGAAGTCGTATTTACACGGTCTGAACGTCTTGCATGTTGCGTTTTGCGTTTTTGCATGGGTTACCGCGAGACTTCCCAAGTATTAATGAAATGGGGAGAAAAAAATAGAAAGACCATAACTAGGAACCGGAAAAATATGCAGAATGAAAGTAAAAATATGTACATAAACATGTAATGTAAACACTAAGAATATTAATAAATATGTAAAATCAGATACAATATATCATATTAAATCTAAAGCACATTTATATAATACGAAACTACATTTATAAAATATTTCCTAATCCAGTTTTAAGAATACAAGCTTAAGAAAACTCATTTAGAGAGCACAAGTTCATGCTCTCTTTGCACCATACAACTTTTCCGTCAGTAATAAAAACTTAATTGCTACCCAGAACCGTAGTTTAGCAGCCAGACTAAATGTGATAGAAGCCGTTATACAAATTGGCTGTATCTATGACCTACAAACAATCGATGCAGCGTGCAACATTCTCAAATAAGTGTTAAACGTCGGCGATCGCCAAAGTTTCTGGGAATTTAAGGTTATAGGTAACGAAACACGCCGCCAATGATCATTTTCACGCATTTTAAAGGTAAAATTGATGTCAGTTGCTGATGCGCACTTCCCGCCACTGAGATAATTGAAGCAGGACAACAAGAACATCCGACCGCGTCTTACCTGGTCCTGCGTATCTAAAGTAGACAGCAAAAGAAGGAAAAGTCCTGATTTTTTAAAAAAAATATCGTATTTCGTTTCTTAAAAATGTAATTAAATAAAAGAAAATTGTTAGAATAAAAATATTTTGTGAAAATTACAAAATATGTAATATAATACTAAATATGTAAAAAATATGTAACCAAAAATTTGGAAATTGTGCTGGAACGGCGACCAATTTTGAGAACGGTAAGTAGAACGACAAAAAATATGTAATTAGATAAAAATGCGGTCTCCAACCATAATCTTCGTCTCCAGGAGCATGGTTGTTTCTGCGAATGCTTAGATTCCCTGAAAAACGCCCCGGAGGAAGTCTTGGGTGCACTTGGCCAAACTCACTACAAGATCCGAGAGCACGCGCCCGCCGTGCCATTACACCTAACCTAACCACAATAATATAAAGAAAGCGCGTGAAACGCGGCCAAAAAAAGTATGTGTAACTATTATATGGAAATGCGCTATTGCGCGCCCGTCGACCTTTGCTATTAAAATTACAAAGGATGGACGATTTCCGCTGTAAATAATCCGTCAGTGAACGCTTCGACAACTAACGCTGAGGCAAACTAAGCTTTCTGCATAAATAAATTTCGAGCATGTTCAAAATTTTTCATGTGGAAACGTGCAGTCTGAACAGCGCGAGAATCTACTCGAAAAACTGTACTGTGAGTACCGGGCTTAAGATTTACGTTAGATCAATCAGATCTGCAAGTGAGAGCGTAGGGTTCCGCGGCCGCATGACGCCCTGAGGAAGGTCGTCAGCACCTTCGCCATGGACGCGGCGTCACCCGGACAGCCTAGTAAATACAGATGTGCAAGACTGAAATGGGGCCAATTTCGCCTGATTTGGGAAGTGCGGAGCAGGACACAGTGCTTACCTTCTGCGTCCTGCACGTGTCGCAGCTGGGGCACGCTCATGCACTCGATGTTGGCGACGAGGTTGCGGTGCGTGAGCATGACGCCCTTGGGCAGGCCCGTGGTGCCCGAGCTGTACGGCAGCGCCGCCACGGCGTCCGGGTCGCCCTCCGGGAGCGCAGCCGCAGCCTCCGCCCCCGCCGCCTCCAGCAGCGCCTGCGCACGCGCGGGAAGGGAGCCTGAGGTCGATGTGATGACGAATTGGAGAATATGGTGTTGGAGGTCGAAGTGATGAAGAATTGGAGAACGTGGTGTTGGAGGTCGAAGTGATGAAGAAATGGAAAATGTGGTGTTGGAGGTCGAAGCGATGAAGAATTGGAGAATGTGGTGTTGGAAGTCGATGTGATAAAGAACTGGAGAATGTGGTGTTGGAGGTCGATGTGATGAATTGGAGAATGTGGTGTTGGAGGTTGATGTGATGAAGATTTCGAGAATGTGGTGTTGGAGGTCGATGTGATGAAGAATTACAAAATATGGTGCTGGAAATCGAAGTGATGACGGATTGACGGAGAGGAGGTCGAGCAGTATCAGAAGGTAAAGAACGCGATGATGGAAACATAAAAGAGGAAGTGGCGGAGGTCGAAAACGAAACGATCCCTTTTAGTACCATGGGGGAGTAATTTGTGCCCATCGTAATTTCATTTTTGTAGTTCCGTTTTGTGTGATACGTATTGTGTGTATTTTTAACCCTGTCTTCAATGCAAGACGCGTACTAGAGTACGTGCTTTCGGCTCCTGTGCTGTAAGGTGTCGAGCTGTGATCGAGAATGTTCCGTGCCTTGCTTTATATATTCATATTTTAATATAATTACACGGTTGTGTTTTCCTTGAGAAGCCATTGTGTCTTAACGGAAAGCATGTACAAAGATAAAGACTTTACGAAGAGGCGTGATGGACAGCTGTCGCGGTGCAGGGATAATTGTCCGGATTTCAGGTGATGTCCACTTGTGTAGCGAACTGTCGTTTGTTAGGCGGCGTCTACTGTACCTTCCAGTGCAAGGCGTCGGGGGGTGGGGCGGCGTCGGTGGCGGCGTCGGGCGCCGGCAGCAGCACGATCGGCGTGGCGGGGCCGACGGCAGCGCGCGCGGTGGCGGCCAGCGCAGGCACCGTGGCCACGACGCGCGCCCCCGCGTCCCCGAACTGGCGGCGCAGCTCCTCGGCCGTGTACAGCGGGTTGGCCATCGTCACGCTCAGCCCGGCCAGCAGCGCTCCCTGCCGCACACACACGGCCTAGATCAGCTCGGCTCGGCTCAGTCTCAGCTCAGCTCAGCCTAGCTCAGTCCTGCTCAATTCTGCCCAGCTCAATACAGCCCAGCCCAGCCCAGCTCAGTCCAGCTCAATACAGCCCAGCCCAGCCCAATATAACCCAGCACATCCCAGCTCAGTTCAGACAACCTCAGATCAACCCAGCTCATCTCAACCCAGCGCATCTCAGCCCAGCCCAGATCAACTCAGCTCAGCCCAGCTCAGATCTATTCAGCTCAGTCCAGCTCAGCCCAGCTCAGCCCAGTTC